GGGAGCACCGCCGATCAGCAGGCAAGGCCCAAACAAACGTGTCACCTCCTCCATCAACCGAGGCCCAGCGTGGCTTCCTAGAGTTGTGACAGGTCCTGGCCTCCCTGGGGCTCTGCATCAGGGCCTTCCCTGCATCCTGGGGTGTGAACCAGCCCCAAGAAAGGGGCAGGGTGGCTGCAGGGGGGGTCAGGGTCAGAGGATCTGGGATTGCTGCGGCCGTCAGGGCCGATGACACGCGCTTCAGGGCCCAGTTCAGAACAGAAATGCGGCTGTTCCGAGTGTTGGGTGGTGACCACCAGCGCCACCCCAGGGCAGGCCCCTCTGAGCCGGGCCGGAGCCTCAGGACTGACTGTCCGAAGGGCTTTGGTGGGAGGGAGAGGGAAGGAGGAAGGGAGGAGCAGGGTCTAGCCACGGCTCAGTTATGGGGTAGGGGAGAGGAAGGCCAGCAGGTATCCCCTTCTCTGCACGGGGCCAGCAAGTAGGAGGGTTCGGGGACTTTGGGAGGAGATGCTGGTTCCATGCCTCCCTCACGAGCTGGGAGAGAACTCAGGCGGGGCAGTCTGTGAATGGCGTCTGGTTGCTGAGTGTGTGTGGTGGGTGTTTAACCCCCTCTCTGCTCCAGGATGGAAAGTGGAGCTGCGGCCATCACCCTCTGCCTTCCTGTACCCAGCTCCCCTTCCACTGCCCGCGGCCGGCACTGCAAACTGCATGTGCCTGGCCTGCTCCCTTGCATCTCGCTGGGGCTCCTGCAGTGTTCTTGCCCTCTGAGGGCCTTTGCCTGAGAAGCTGCTGTCATCCTTGAAGACTCGAGTTCCGCCTGCCGCCGCCTCATTTCCACAGCTCCTCTGTGCAGCCCTGCCTGTGCACCTACTGTGTGAATCCAGCGTCACTGCAGGAGCGCAGATCCCTCTGTGGTAGGGAGGGCTCTCTTGGTGCAGAATCCCAACTCAGATGAACATAAGCCCAAAGGAAACCCGTTGGCTCACATAACTATCTCGCCCAGAGCGCGGCTGCAGGCATGGCTGGATCCAGGACCTCAGTAATGGACTCAGCACTCTGTCTCTCTCCCCGTTCTCGGCTCTGCTTGTCTTTACTTCTGTCTACTCTCTCTCCATGCGGTGCGGACGGCCTCTGGCAATCCCAGGTTAGCAGCCTTGATGGGAAGAGGCCACTGTTCCGTTCACTCTGTGAACAAGCCCCCGGGGGGCTTTTAGTGGTGAAGCTTGGGCTGTGTGAGCTCCCAGAACCAGTCACCGTGGCTGGCGAGGGAGTCTGCGTCTGTCCTGATGATTGGATGGGGTCAGCCTACAGAAAAGAGAGGCTTGTCTGCAGCCAGCAAAGGGGAGGACGGAGGCTGGGCGGGGTCTGCACCTCCCTGGCCAAATGGGTAAGCACTGTGAGGGAGGGGCGTGTGTTTCAGGGCACTCCGTATCCCCGGCCCCTTCCTGTGCCTGGCGCATAAGTGGACACCATCTTTATGGACTAGCCTCCCCCTGCACCAGGAACTCTGACAGAGAGTGTAGCATGTAGGCCCTGGGGACACGGCCAGTGGCCGGGGTGTCTTCACGCAGCCTCCTGGGCCTTGGCTCTCCCTCCGCTGGCGGCCTGGAGGGTCAGGAATACATTTTGCAGCAGAATTGACTGTGCTGGAAGAGGGGCTTCCTTGCCCAGGGGGCTCTTCTCACAGTTTTCACCTCGCTCAATTCCAAGTCAAAACCTCTGGCCCCAGAAGCTCATTTGGGAACAGTGGGAGGGCAGATCTGAATGGACACGGCCACTGGCTGCCTTGGCTATGCTGGACAGGACACCTGGCGCCAGCCTGGCAGAGGGGCGGAGCCTCAGGGCAATGGTTTGGGGTCCTGGGTCCAGCCCTGTGGAAGCTGCTCTCTGGGTGCTGCTGTGAAGGTGGCAGGTCCCCTTTCTGGCTGAAGGTCCTCCGAATCAGTGTCCCAGGCTTCCCGGTCACAGAAGCCGGAGCAAGAGAGCCTGAGCTTTGTGGGAATTTACATGGAAACGCCTTCTGCTGCCTGTCATTACAAACAGGACCACCCAAGTCCTGGGGTGGGCTGTGAGGCCAAGTGCATGTTCTTGCCATGGACTGGGGGTTCCTCAGCTCCCTGCGCTGGCTGGGCTGCATCCTCCATGGCTCTCTGTCCCTGAGGGCCGGGAGAGGCCCACGCTCGGTAGGAGCAACTGTGCCTGCCCTCACCCCGTGAGGGACTGCAGACATCCCGCCCCACTCACTCTTAATCGCGGGGAAGCAGCGCCAACCTGTTCGCAGTAGTCGGACGGGGGTCTCTAGCTCATGCGTCTCAGCCTGTCCCTTCCTAACTCCTTTCTTCTTCCCGTCTTTTCACTTCCTGGGCGATAAATCAGCTCCTTAAAGCAGCCCTGGGCATGCACAAGGCCAGGGTTTCGAGCTGTCCCCTGAAACCGCAGGCGGAATTCTAATCCCCGGCGTTGGAGGTGGGGCCTGGGGGAGGCGGTGGGCTGGTCGGGGTGGATTTCCCATGGACGGTTCAGCACCGTGCCTTTGGTGCTGTCCTCACAATAGTGAGTGCTCATGAGATCTGGTCATTTAAAAGCGTGTGGCCCCTCGCCCCACTCTCTCCTCTCTTCCTCCTGCTGTCACCGCGGAAGACGCACCTGCTCCCTGTCACCTCCTGCCATGACTTGAAGCTTCCAGAGGCCTCCCCAGGGGAGAAGCTGAAGCTGCTGTGCTTCCTGCACCACCAGCAGAACCATGAGCCAATTCAACCTCCTTCCTTACAAATTCTCCAGTCTCGTGTCTTCCTCCCTCCCTCCCTCCCTCCCTCCCTCCCTCCTTCCTCCCTCCCTCCCTCCCTCCCTCTTCCCTCCCTCCCACCCTCCCTCCTTCCTCCCTCCCTCTTCCCTCCCTCCCCCCCTCCCCCCTCCCCCCTCCCCCCTCCCTCCCTCCTCCCTGCCTCCCTCCCTCCCTCCCTCCTCCCTGCCTCCCTCCCTCCCTCCCTCCTCCCTCCCTCCCTCCTCCCTCCTTCCTCCCTCCCTCCCTCCCTCCTTCCTCCCTCCCTCCCTCCTTCCTCCCTCCCTCCCTTCCTCCCTCCCTCTTCCCTCCCTCCTCCCCTCCCTCCTTCCTCCCTCCCTCCCCCCTCCCTCCCTCCCCCCTCCCCCCTCCCCCCCTCCCTCCCTCCCTCCTCCCTCCCTCCTCCCTCCCTCCTCCCTCCTTCCTCCCTCCCTCCCTCCTTCCTCCCTCCCTCTCTCCCTCCCTCCCTCCCTCCTTCCTCCCTCCCTCCCTCTTCCCTCCCTCCTCCCCTCCCTCCTTCCTCCCTCCCTCTTCCCTCCCTCCCCCCTCCCCCCTCCCCCCTCCCTCCCTCCTCCCTGCCTGCCTCCCACCCTCCCTCCTCCCTCCCTCCCTCCCTCCCCCCCCTCCTTCCTCCCTCCCTCCCTCCCTCCTTCCTCCCTCCCTCTCTCCCTCCCTCCCTCACTCCCTCTCTCTCTCTCTCTCTCTCTTTCAACATAGTCTCACTCTGTCTGGAGTGCAGTGGCGCGATCTCAGCTGACTGCAACCTCCGCCTCCCGGGGTTCAAGCCGTTGTCCTGCCTCAGCCTCTGGAGTAGCTGGGACTACAGGCACCCACCACCTTTTGTATTTTTAGTAGAGATGGGGTTTCACCCTATTGGCCAGGATGGTCTCCATCTACTGACCTCGTGATCTGCCCGCCTCGGCCTCCTAAAGTGCAGGGATTACAGGCGTGAGCCACAGCGCCCGGCCTCGTGTACTTCGTTACAGTAATGTGAGAACAGACGAACACACATTACCTGCCATTGTTTTTCTTAGAATTCTGCCGGTGGTGCACATGGCCGAGCAGACAGAGCCTGGCCACGCCTGTGCTGCCTCCACGCCGTCACTGGCCCAGCCTCAGACCTGGGGTGAGCACAGACTGCCTTGCTTTGACCAATCGCAGCTTTCAGCCAAGCCCTGCCCCACTCCCCTCCCTGTCCTCACAGCCGCTGGGGCAGACTCCACTGAGTCTCGCTCTGTCGCCCAGGCGTGCAGTGGCACGATCTCAGCTCGCTGCAACGTCTGCCTCCCAGGTTCGAGTGATTCTCATGCCTCAGCCTCCAGAGTAGCTGGGATTACAGGCACCCACGACCACACCTGCCTAATGCTTCGTATTTTTAGCAGAGACAGGTCTTGCTGTGTTGGCCAGGTTGGTCTTGAATTCCTGACCTCAAGTGATCCGCCTGCTTTGGCCTCCCAAAGTGCTGGGATTACAGGCATGAGCCACTGCGCCCGGCCGTCTGCTCACTTTTAATTGTGGAAATGCAGCCCAGCCCAGTTGAAAGCTCAAATCTCCTGAAAAGTCAGTGCTCCTGGGCCCAGGGCGAGGCTGCCGGCTCTCCAGATGTTGGGTGAGGACAGAGAGGTGTGTGTGCTCTCCGCTCATTCCCCTCCACCCTCTGGGCTGGCTGCCACAGTGAGCCACCAGCCTTGATGACTCCGACCTCCCTGTCCCCACATGGAGGCTTGGGCCGCGGCTGGGTAACTCGTGGGTCACTCGTGCTCAGCCCTGCAGGGCGTGTCTGGGCCTGGTGAGTTTCTTACAATGTGGAGACTGTGCAGGGTGGTGTCGGGGGGGTTGCTTGGACCCTCTGCCATTTTCATCTGTGGACCTTAGCCATCAATTCCAGGGCTCTAGTAAAAATCCCACTCAAAATAAAACCATGCACCCTCTCTCTCTCTGTGGCAGCTTCCAGGATGTCGCCTGGGGTGCTCACCGCCAGGCTCCCCAGTGAGAGCACCAGGGCTCTCCAGAGAAACAGAACCAAGAGGAGATGGGCTTGCTCATTAGTTCTGGGGAATTGGCTCATGTGATCACAGAAGTTGAGATGTCCTGAGATCTGTCACCTGGAGACTGAAGAGGGCCCGTGTCCCCATCTGAGTCTGAAGGCCTGAGACCCAGGAGCGCTGAGGTTTAGTCCAGTTCAAATCTGAAGGCCGGATGAGACCCATGCCCCAGTTTGAAGACTACAGGCAGAGAAAGCAAGTTAGCCCTCCCTCAGCCTTTTGTCTGTTCAGGCCTTCAAGGGATTGGAGGAGGCCCACCCACACAGGGGTCCTTCAGCTCAGATGCTGATCTCATCCAGAGACAGCTCACAGACACCCCAGAGCACGAGTGGCCAAATGTCTCACCACCTCATGGCCCAGTCAAGGTGACATGTGAAATTGACCATCACAGTGTCTTGGTATCACAGCATCTGAGCTGGCCCACGTGAGAGTGAGTGATGTCCCAGACTAGCTGGCAGATGGCTTTGTGGATTCTACCTTGCTCTCTCTGGGGTCAGTCTGGGGGAAGCCAGTCGCCATGTTGGGAGGATGCTCAAGGAGCCCTGTGGAGACGCCCATGGGGCCAGAAACGGAGGCCTCCCGCCAACAGCCTGTGAGAAGCTCCGGCCCCCACCAGTGGCCTTGTGAGAATCGGAGGCTTCTCCCCAGCAACCACGTGAGCAAGCTTCCTTGGAAAGGGATCTCCCAGCCCAGTGTACCTGCAGGTGTTGCAGCCCTGGCCAGATCCTGTGCCGCAGCCTCCCCACGAGGCTTCTTGAAAATCCTGGAGCCACTGAAACTGTAAGATGATGAAGGTTTGTTGTTTTACACTGCTCAGTTTTGGGGTAATTTGCTACATGGCAATAGATAACACATACACTCTATATCTGTATGTGTATATGTTTTATATATTCTATATGATGTATTTTTAAATAGGGTTTTCTTCCCAGGATGGGATCTTACTGAACATTCTTAAAAATGGATTAATTTTAGACATGGCCAGCTGTCCCACATTTCTGTGGAGGAAGGGCAGTAGTATTCACTAAATAGTCCACGTGCTCTTCTTCACTCCCAGCGTCCCTCGAGGTGAGGTTGGGACCATGTGACCAGCCATGGCCAATGGGCTCTGAGCAGAAGGACCGTGTGTCTGCTTGTCAACACACTCGGAGCTGCATGCCTCCTCCACAGGCCCCTCTCTGATGTGCAATCCTGGAGGCATGCCTGTGAGGGTGGCACAGGAGATGGGGAGCCGGGATCCCCAGTGACCCCGGAGGAGAGCCCTGCCAATCAGTGTGCTGCTTGCCCTAGAGAGAAATACATTGTAGCAGGATTAAGCTATGAGATTTTGGAGGTTTGTTTGTTAATGTGTCATGGTCTAGCGTCTCCCAACCCTGTGCGGCCCCTAACAATGGCAGTCAAAACACCTGCATGGGGCGGGTCACGAGGTCAGGAGTTTGAGACCAGCCTGACCAACATGGTGAAACCCCATCTCTACTAAAATTACAAAAAGTAGCCAGGCGTGGTGGCACATGCCTGTAGTCCCAGCTACTCAGGAGGCTGAGACAGGAGAATTGCTTGAACCCAGGAGGCGGAGGTTGCAGTGAGCTGAGATCGAGGCATTGCACTCTAGCCTGGGCAATAGAACAAGACTCCATCTCAAAAAAAAAAAAAAAGGAAAAGAAAAGGAAAGGAAAGAAAAAACCAGCACCAAGAGCAGAAAGCAGCAATGGAGTCGCTGTGGCAGGGCTCTTAGACACACGTGGAGTGGAGTGACGCTGTGTCAGGGTGGAACGTGTTCAGTTGAAGGTGTGCATTGTATCACTTGGCAGACAGGGAGTCCCCGGGGGCCAGGGAGAGGAGGGAAAGCAGTGTGAGAGCTCAGTGAGCGTGCCCCCACTGTGAATACTGGCCAGGCTAGAGGAGGAGACTGCAGAGGGCCCAGCAGGTCTGGGGTAGGGGAGGTGTCTCTACTGGGTGCACCCCCAATTTCACTTCCTCCCTCCTGCCAGGCTGGGGGTCCACACACGGTTTCTATGATTTTCATGGCTGCCTCCACATTCTACTCTGTGATAGACGGAGGAGTCTAAGTGAGCCGGTGCCTCCCGGCCCTGCAGAGGAGCCCTCATACGCCCAGGAGCGCCCGATGCTTCCCTGCCTGCTTGGGGGTCTGGTGCCATCGTCTTCGGTAACACTGGGTTCTCAGGCACAGCAGGAGGGTCTCCGAGCTCATCAGACACTGTGCCTGCTGGAGCTGTGCCTCTCAAGGCTTCCCCCCATCCCGAAAAAAATCGCCTCTATGGTGGAAGTTTCTTCTGAAAATGCAGGTGGCCTCGGACGCTCCTGGAGGAGTTCTCAGTGCATTGCAACACTTGGTGGGGGAAATCGCCTGAGCCCGCAGCTCTCCCATCTCTGCCCCAAGAGACTGTGTGGGATGAAGGAGGGTGTGTCTTCAGAAGGCGCTGAGGCATCACCAGAGCCCTCACAGGCAGCGTCGGGCATGTCAGGAGGTCATTTCACATGTTCTGCAAGGATGTGTTTTCAGCTCTCCAGTTTTCTAGTGGAGGAAACCAAAGCTCACAGGTCAGCACAGGCGTTTGCCCCATACTCCACCACCGTGGGTTCCAGGTGACGGGGAAGGGGAGGGGAAGGAAGAATCCTGTCTCTTATGGAATCTCATCACAGGGCACCCTCTCCCACCTGGAGCTTCCTGCAGACTGGAACTAAAAGACAGGTTCTTGCCCAAGTCTCCAGGAGCCCCAGCCCGGCCGACGTCTTCTTGCTCTGCTGAGCTCTCTGCACACCCCCAAGACCCTATCCTCCCCTGGCTCAGCTGTAGGAAGCCCTGGCAGAGAAGCCCAGGATGGGAGAGGCAAAATTGGGAGGATGAGGTTTGCATTACCTGTAATCCTGGCCAGGCCACAGTACCTAAGTGCTCAGTCAACTCGAACCCAGGTGTAGCTGGGAAGGTAGTCTGCAGAGGCGCTCAGTACCCACCGTCAGATGACCCAGAGGAGGTCAGCCTCAACTTCTCCGGGAGGGACTCCTCCGTCAAAGGAAGCCCTTGAGGGTGAAAACAGAGGCTTCGCTGAAAAGAACACCTGCCTCAAAACCGTAATGCACACGTCACCGCCTGTCTCCTGCCCACCGCCTGCCCTGCAGGTTCTGAACCGGCCAGACACCAGGAGCCAGTGCTTTAAAATAAGTCTCTACTTTGGGAGGCCGAGCCGGGTGGATCACCTGAGGTCAGGAGTTCAACACCAGCCTGGCCAACATGGTGAAACCCCGTCTCTACTAAAATACAAAAATCAGCCAGGCATGATGGCAGGTGCCTGTAATCCCAGCTACTCAGTAGGCTGAGACGGGAGAATCACTTGAACCTGGGAGAAGGTGGCTGCAGTGAGCCGAGATTGTGCCACTGCACTCTAGCCTGGCGAGGAGCAAGACTCTGTCTCAAACAAACAAACAAAACTCTAAACATACACACATCTATGTAAACAGCCTATTGTTTCTATGTCAGAAAAACCGGGACAAATCCCTCTGTCTATTACTCAGGAAAACCCTGCCTGATGCAGCCCTCCAGGGCTCAGGGGCCACTGTGTCCTTTGTGGGGAGTGGGGTGGGGAGTGGGGCGGCTCCTGTCCAGGGCCTTCTTACCAACAGCTACAAGGCTTGGGTAGGCATCAGCTCCTGCCCTCCCCTTCCAGGCCTTGGGAAGACACAGCTCCCTCCCAGGCTGCCCCCAGAGCACCCCATCCCTCCTGGTCTCCTAAGCCTGTCCTGTTCCTGTAAGTAATTCCTTTATTAAATGCCCCTTAAGTGATCCAATCTGCATGTAGCATCTATTTCCTGCCAGGCCCCTGCCTCCTGCCTGGTACTGCCTGCTCACCCTGCGGCCAGCTGCCCCTGGGACTGCCCAAGCCTCTGCAGCAAGAGAAATCTGGAAGCCACGTTCACCACCCGTCAGACACATCCCCAGGGCGTCTGCAACCGGTGAGGGCTTTTAATCAAGCAGACTCCCTCCTGCACTGCACACGGCTTTTGCTTCCTTCATAACAACTGGTATCCATAAATCATCATCCAAAAGGGCAGTGCGCGAGGAAGCCAGAGCTGCACGGTCTACTGGGCATTCCCCCTCCAGGTAGCGAGCTCTGAGGCTCCCAGGGGCAGGGACAGGGACAAGGAAGCGGGGGGAGGGACGGTGGAAAGGAGGAAGGAAGGAAGGGAGCAGCCTCCCCTGGCCCTGGGGCCAGTGGCTCCATTCTCATGAAGCAGAGAGCCCTGGCTGGGGAAATTCCTCTCCTCACCCTTCAAGGTCGAGTTTCCTCCGGAGGAAGTGTGGAGGTCCTTCCTGGCAGGGATCCCCCTTCTTCCCAGTGTCTCTTAGCAGCCCCTGAACCGCTGTGCCTCCCGGCTACCTGGGCTGGTGGCTATGGAAACCGTCTATCCGCGGGATGGTGGGGTGGGGAGGTGGGGGGGCAGCTCTGCTGGAAGTCAGAAGCTGCAGCATTTCCCTCGCGCTAGGCACAGGGGTTTGGGGTGGGCCGAGCACGCGCCCCCAGGGCTGTGTCACACAGAGGCGGGCCTCGACTTTTCAGAGTCTGACGTTTTCCTCATCCTGAGTTGTGCATTAATGTTCATTTTAAAAGCGCTGCACTCAGATATTATTGATCTTGATTTCTTAGCTCGTGCCCAAAGCAACTGCCTAGTCCTTCCTGCTTTCTGGGACAAATCTGGGAGCCGGGTGGAGAGAGGAAGCAGGCTTTGGGGCAGGCAAGCAGGCGTGGGCTTGCCCTGGCCAGGCCGGTGCCCTTGGGCCTCATCCTTCACTTCCCTGGTCCTCCCGTCCCGGATGCTGGGCAGGGCGTGACAGGTGCGTGATGTTCGGGGACAGCATCTGCCAACCTCTGTGATCACTAGAACAAGGCCGTGCCCCGAGGAGACTGACTCCCCATGAGGGCAGGCTTCGGGCATTCTCACTCCTCACTGCAACCCTGTGTCGGCGCGGCAGCCCCACGGAAACCCGATAAACACCAGTCACCAGGAGGGGTCCGACCCACCCTACCAGGATCCCAGTGGTCCACGGAGCAGCAGGGGAGCTGGGCAGTCCTAGCAGCACCCAGTGGGCATAGCAGGTCTTGCTATCTTATGGCCGCCGCTCTGGGTGATGGCCGGGCAGTGCCTGGGGTCGGCCAAGGGCTTTTGAAGCTGGAGAGGCTGGAAGGCTGGGCTGGGACTGCAGCAGCGGCCAGGCCAACATCATCCTGGAAGGCTCTCCACGGGGCGCTTCCTGGCCCGCTGCCAGGCTCCGCCCCACAGCCAGGCCCCAGGCCCAGATGCCTGGATTGGGAAAGCCCCGTGGGTTCAGAGATGTCCTCTCTGGCTCTCAGCAACACAGGAGCACGCTATGCCCACTCACTGCAGGGGCTGGGCTTCCCCAAACCACATTCTGGGACAACCACACTGTCCCACACACATACCAGGGACACACACACCACACACACTCCAGGGACACACACCAGGGACACACACACACCAGGGACACACACCAGGGACACACACACCGCACATACTCCAGGGACACACACCAGGGACACACACACACCAGGGACACACACACACCAGGGACACACACACCGCACATACTCCAGGGACACACACCAGGGACACACACACACCAGGGACACACACACTGCACATACTCCGAAGGCACACACACACCACACATGCCACAAGGCACACTCTCCCACACACTCACAAGCATGCACACTCACAGCCACACACACACCCAGGACGAGGCATTCTCTTTAATGAGGAGCTGTGTTTCTGCTGTCACCCCTGCCCAGGTCACACACCTGTCCAGGTTCTGTGGGACCTGCCTACCTGGGCACAGGTGGGTCTGTGTGGCCTCCCTGCCTGAACCCAGCTCTTGGGGGTGCCGGGCAGTACCCAGCCCCACTTCCCTGGTGGGCCTGTGCGTGGTGAGCTCAGGGGAGGTTGGGGGCAGGGTGGAGCTGGACGGACCCACGCTGGGCATCATTCCAGCCAGGGGAGGGACACTTGTGTCCGGCCGAGGCCCAGAAGGCAGGGGCTTGCCCACGGCCATTCATTGCACGGCTCACAGCTCCTGACGCCCCACCTTACTTTTTCCTGGCTGCAGCCTGGGGTGGGTACCTAAAAATTGGCCTTAAACCCCAGGAAAGGACTATCAGGAATTATTTTATTCCCTGTGTCATGCCCAGCAAGGAAAGGACAGAGGATGGGCCTTCGCTGCTGGAGGGACCCTCTCTGAGGTCTGTTCTGGGTGGCAGAACATACTCCATGGAGCCCCAGGAGCAAGGCTTGGTCTGTAGCCTGCTGGGGCTGGGGGTCTGTGGGTGGGAACAGTGGGCGCTCTCGCTAACACTCCTGGGGCTAGCCCATGCAGAGCTCCGAGGGAGCCTTTCGAGGTCCACGCGTGTTCCGCCTTGTGCCTTTAGCTCCCTGCCCAGGTCTTCCCTTCCTATACACACAGGGCCTCTGCCCTGGCGCCAGCCCCCAGCTCCTTCTTTCGAGGCTCAGACGGTGTCCCTGATGTCCCTCAGCCTGGACACAAAGGCCCGGCATCCGGATCCCTCCCTCCCTCCTTCCCCTGCTGGCCTATTTCTCAGGGCTTTCAGTGCCCGCGTCACCATCACCGTAAGAACTTAATGACGTTTGGCAGCCCCAGGCGGGCGGGGGTGGCTTCTCACTCCACAGGGGTGACGGTCCCCCATGATTCGCAGGGGCTTGGGAGGGGGACGGAAGAGGCGCTGCAGCAGCCACACATATGCTGGCTACCGGGTCCTAGTCACACCTGCCTGCCAACCCCCATCCCGGTCAGGGCACTGCAGTCTGGAGACAGCCGGTGCCTCTGTCCCACAGAGCTGATCTTCAGTTCCTCCTTGTCCCATCCTGGGACCCTCACTATCCACAGGGCTTGTTGCTGGGTAAGCAATGCTCCTTTCTTTGGAGGTTCAGGGTGTGGGGCCGTGGTCACTGAACGGGGCTCCCACCTGCCAGAGACACTAGACACTGGACAGGATGGGCCCCTGGCAGCTGTGTGAGTGGTGTGAGTCAGTGCAAAGGCCACAAAAGTGTGTCGTCCAGTCCTGTTCCCACCGGCTCTCTCGCCTGCAGCTTCCCTCCCCACCCCAGGCACCCTCCCCCTGGGGCACTGGAGTGGCCACGGCATTTCTGGGGTACAGATACCCAAACTGTATCTAGTTGGGGTTATGAGGTGACTGTAGGGATGGCTCATGGTCACTTATGGACACATCACAGCCGTCCGGATCACGCGTGGCTTCCGGGAAACTGCCCCGTGCACCTGCAGGTGGGAGGTTGTGTTGGAACAGGAGTGAGTCCCAGGAGTTAAGGGGACACAGGGCCTGGGATCAGAGCTGGAGGCTCCTCTGTGGAAGGTTCTTCCAGGCCTACCGGCTCACATGAAAAGAAAACAAACACCTCTCGGAATTCAGTCACCCAAAAATGTGCGGGACACAGCAGTAAGGACACCTTTCTGTCGGAATTCAGTCACCCAAAAATGTGCGGGACACAGCAGTAAAGACACCTTTCTGTCGGAATTCAGTCACCCAAAAATGTGCGGGACACAGCAGTAAGGACACTTTTCTCTCGGAATTCAGTCACCCAAAAATGTGCGGGACACAGCAGTAAGGACACCTTTCTGTCGGAATTCAGTCACCCAAAAATGTGCGGGACACAGCAGTAAGGACACTTTTCTCTCGGAATTCAGTCACCCAAAAATGTGCGGGACATAGCAGTAAGGACACCTTTCTGTCGGAATTCAGTCACCCAAAAATGTGCGGGACACAGCAGTAAGGACACCTTTCTGTCGGAATTCAGTCACCCAAAAATGTGCGGGACACAGCAGTAAAGACACCTTTCTGTCGGAATTCAGTCACCCAAAAATATGCGGGACACAGCAGTAAGGACACTTTTCTGTCGGAATTCAGTCACCCAAAAATGTGCGGGACACAGCAGTAAGGACACTTTTCTATCAATACTTAAAAGTGAATTTTGGCCAACAGTGTGTGTGGCAGAGCAGGGGAGTCGGGGAAGCCTCTGGAAGGACGGAGAAAGAGAGAAGAGGGGCGGACATCTCCCGGAAGCTGCAGCCAGGCAGAGGACTGGGTTGGGGCTTCTTCTGGCCTGTGCTCTCCCTGAAATTCCTGGTAGCTCAGGGCTGGGGGCGGGACGCTCAGGGCCAGGGAGGAATGCACAGGGTTGGGCTGGCGGGGGACACCCAGCTCCTCCTGACCGATGTCTGTTGCTCCCTGTGCTCCCCTGTCCTCTGGGACAGTGGCAAACACTTGAATCTGCGTGTAAGGCCCGCAGAGCTTGTTTTCCTGTCATCAGAAAAGCCCCTTAACTTCTGCCCATCATGAACTCTCCAGAGGAAGTGCTGCTCCGGGACATTGGGTGCTCCTGGCCCCCTGCCCGAGCAGGGGTCAGGTGGCCAGGCTGAAAGACACGGCTGAGGGACGGGCCCCAGCAGACAGTCAGCTTGGGTGGAGCAGGGTGGGGGGCGGAGCAGGCCAACTAGCCAAGTGTGCCGGGCGTGCAGGGCGTGCCGGGCCAGGGGCTCCAAGGCCTGGTGCAGAGCCCTGTGTGTGGGCCCAGGCCTGAGGACGGAGCCCCAGGGTCCTGGCATGGCACGGGCATCAGTCCTCGGACTTATCTCAAGGGAACTCTGGATCCTCACCCAAGCCCCCTCATCCCCCAGCCACTCCCGTCCCCAGCAAACGCCGCCATTTGTTAAGGTTCTTAAACCAAATTGGAATGAGTCTGGAGCTTGTCCCAGCCTGGTGAGTGGCCAAGCCAGGACTTCAAGTCTTGACCATGTGGGAGAGTTGACGTGAAACACAGGTTTCCAGCTCTGCTTGGAGAACTTGAAAATCCAGACACGCGCACTTTTGCGTTACTCTTACGCGGGCCCCATTCATTTTTCCTTTGACTGAAGAGGGTGAGGTGGAGGCGGGGGCCCGGCGCAGAGCAGAGCCGCCTTCCGCCCGGCCTCCGTTCCTGTGGTTCACAGTGCTGGCGCGCAGGTGACCTGGGCGGTGTCCTGAGACCCGGCCAGGTTTCTCAGTAAAGCCAGAACCAAATTCCAGGCCTAGTCCTGACCCAAACGTGCGTCATGGCTAAAGACGTGCGCAAGCCCTGGCAGCCCCACCCCCGCCGGCGACCCGACGTGCCACTGGCTCACCCCACGGTGTGGCTCCGGGGCGCTCTTCCCAGCGGTCAGGGGTTCCTTCCTTTGGGCTTTGCCTGGCTCTGAGAAACCCTCACCACCTTTCAGCAGCGGTACTGCCACTTTCCTACCCAGGCTCAGGTAGACAAGAAGAGACAGGGAAGCAGGGACCAAAGCCGCCAGGGAGG